GACGCAAGGGACACAAAGAGAAGATTATTGTTTGACGTTTGATTTGAATGATTGATGTTATATTTATAATTAAGTATGTTATGTTTCAGAAGACGTTGATTCTGTACTTTGATTACTCTATCAAGGGAATTAGCTAATGAACATAACACAACTAAGGCTTATATAGAAAATACATTACTCAAACAATGAAAACACAATAAAAATACATATAGATGACCTAAAAACATAAGAAGCGTACAACATTTTTTTACCAATTATTAACTCCGGGAACTGCTTTGGATACTTTTCTTACTCCATTGTTATATAGTCATCCCTAATTCTCATTTTATCTTCAAAATGCTCTTTGATTTTCTTTTTCTTGATATTTATCCATTGTTCGGCCTTTTTGCATTCTGATGCAATGAATTCAATCCCAGGATGACTGTTTATCCTGTTTTTGTTGTTCTTCAGCCCATTGCAATTATTTCATAGTTTCATCGGACATATATGGCCCATCCGAAGAGGCTGTAACAAAAGGGTCGATTGGATCACAGTAGTAACAATAAACTTCGTTGCAGGAGAAAATTTGAAGATGAACTCATAATGAAGTTGAAAAAGGATATGTTTTTTATATGAACTCATAATGTCAATTTATACACCGTTTAACTCTGTGGAAGTAACTTGGCAGTCTGCTGGTAGTCCGCTTAACTGACTTGTCAGTCCGCATAACTGACTTGGCAGTCCGCGGAAGTAACTGGCAGTCTGCGTAACCTATCTTTTTATATAATAAAGCTTGTATCTATATGAAATTCACATCTTTATTCACAAAATGGCGTCTAATGTACCAACTTCTTCGAATGCAGCAAATCCGTCAAATGCAGTAGCTTCGTCCAATGACACACGTCCATGGACGACAACAAAGGTGTTGGTCCTAACACGATGTTGGATTATTGTTTACGCGGGTGTAGCAACAATGAATCCCCCTCATTGCCTTGCAAGTGATGATTGGTCCCGCCTAATAGCTTTGTTCAACCATGAGGTGGGAGAAGGACTAGAATGGCTAAAACCCGATATTGTTAGTAAATGGATGGATTTAAAGAAAAAAAGTCACATGGTCCAATCGATGCTACAATTATGCTAAAATGCGACACTCTCGTGCAGACGATGAAGAAATTTTTGAAGAAGTGAACGGATATTACATTTTCGAGTTTGATGGAAATGAGTTCGAGTATGAGGACGTTTTGGAATCTCGTTAAAAATAAACATTTTTCATGTAGACGACTCTTTTATTTGTAATATTTTATGTAATGTTTGTCAGTCCTTTATCTTATTCGTAATGTTTATGTTTCTGCTTGTTATTTGTAATGTTTTTTTATTTGAAGGTAATGTTTTTTTATTTGAATGTTTGTAATATTTGTTTGTGCATTCTATTTCAAAAAATAAAGGATAAATAACATAATACAAACATAGTAAATATAAATAACCATTGAATCAAACATAGTACATATAAATAACCTAATACAAACGCAATATAAGTTAAAAATACGGGAGATCTTTCAAAAGATTTCAAGGGGCTTCATAGCCGAAAATCTCTCTGTTGCTAATGGATTTGTATTCCTCTTTAGCCGCCTCCAAGACGTCTTCCTCAGTATCATTCACACGTGCGTCTTCAATATTCTTATGAAGATCGTTGAATAAAAGAACTTTTGTTTTCAATTCATACAATTTTGCTGCCATATCAAGGGTGTTGCGATGGTTTTCTGAGATGGTTTGAGTGTCAGTGTTAAAGGTATCGGTTAAACGGGGCCAAAAAATTATATCATTCAACATGTTGTTCTCGTATACATTAATATATGCACGAGTTAGAAGCAAGTACTCCTCAACGGTCTATGGCTTTGAACCCATTGTGAGAGATACAAAGTAGATGCAACGATATAGATTAGATGAAATGATACATATCATTTTATAGTGAAATGTAATTTACGACTTCTCAGTCCGCATAACTGACTTGGTAGTCCGCGGAAGTAACTTGGCAGTCCACCTAACTGACTTGTCAGTCCGCATAACTAGTCCGCATAACTGACTTGGCAGTCCGCGAAACGAATATAATAATAAATAAAAACACATATTTATATCAAATATAGGGGACTCGCCAATGGGAGCAAATTGATAAGTCCTTCGAAAGATAGGGCTTCCCGAAGATGCTTGAATCGTTGAAGTATTTAGCTACTCAGGTTAGTATATCGACCTCATAAGTAGGTAATTATTATCAATTTGTTTTGTTAATTTTAGCACATGATCGTACTAATCAACTTGATTTCATGGACCTGTGGACACGCTTTTACAATGAAATAAACCCTTTCCTATATAATATTTCAAATGAATACATGACCATTTTACCCTTGCTTCCTATTCGTACAATTTAGGTATTTAACAAAATATGAATGTCATGTACAATGTAGGTTATTTAACAATAAGTGTACATGCTCAAAGTATAAATATATGCTTTAAAAATTATAATTACTTACTACATAATTTATATGAAATATTCCATTTATAAAGTAGTTATATTCCTTCTATTACTATGAGCAACAAAAGAAATTGAACTAAAAACTTAAAATGTTATTAAATTTTAAATTTAAAAACGTATTTTTACCTAAAATCACGTAAAAATAATTTACCGATTAATTCATTGAAACCGTGGTTAATAAGTTTTCTAGTATATATATAATCGTGATCATGACTTTAACAACCATGTCAATGGCCATATTCATTGTGGTTCGTACGTCTACCTCTCTTAAAAAAGAAAACGTGTACATCTTATATACATAAAGCTCGTCTTGGACATATCATATGATTAGAAGAAACAAAGATGTCAAGATTTTATGAAGAAAACTAAGGTGATGTTTGGTTCGCAGAATGTTGATAAAGGAATTTGAATTGGATTTGGAAAAGGAATATGTTTGGAATTTGAATCCAATTCCATATGTTGTTTGGTTGGCAGGAAATGGAATTGGAATTAATTCCAGATTCTGTTTGGTTCGCATGAAATAGAATTGGAATTCATGTAAAATGATAGAATTATCCTTTTTGTCTATTTTGCTTAATTTTACCTTGTTTTCTAACTTATATGTAAAGATACATATATAAAATATAAAAACAATAAAATTTTGGTTGTGGTGGCAGTGGTGGTGGGGGTGGGGGTGGTGGTGGTGGTGATGGCGACAGTGATGGTGGCGGCGACAGTCGTGGGTGGCGGTAGTGGTGGTGGTGATGGTGGCGGTGGAGTTGATTGTGGTGTCAGTGGTGGTGGTGATGGTAGTAGTGGCGGCTGATGGCAGTGGTGGTGGCGAAGGTGTGGTGGTGGAAGCATTGGTGGTGGTTGCGAGTGATGGTAGTGGCGACGTTTGTGGTGGCGGTGGCGGTGGTGGTAGTGGTGGTGGGTGATGGTAGTGTAGTTAGTGGTGGCGGCGGTGGTGGTGGGTTCGGTGGCGGTGTTGGTAATGGTGGTTGTGGGTGATGGCGGAGGTGGCGGTAGTGGTGGGTGGTGGCTGTGCAGTAGTGGTGGTCGGTGGCGACGGCGGCGGCGGTGGTGGGTGGTAGTGGAGGCGGCGGTGGTGGGGGTGGGGGGTGGCGGCGGAAGTCAGTGGTGGTGGCGGCGGCAGTGATGGGTGGTGGCAGCGGCGGGAGTAGTGGGTGGTGGAGGCGGCGGCGGTGGTGGGTGGTGGTGGTGTCGACGATGGTGGTGGTGGTCGGTGATGGTAGTGGTGATGGGTGATGGTAATGGCGGTGGCGATGGTGGTAGTGGTGGTGGGTGATGACAATAATGGTGGGTGATGGTAATGGTGGTGGTGGTAGTGTTGTTAGTGGTAGCGGCGGTGGTGGTGGGTTCCGTGGCGGCGTTGGTAATGGTGGTTGTGGGTGATGGCGGAGGTGGCAGCGACAGTGGCGGTAGTGGTGGGTGGTGGCTGCGCAGTAGTGGTGGTCGGTGGCGACGACGGCGGTGGTGGTGGGTGGTGGCGGCGACGACGGTAGTGGTGGGTGGCGGCGGCGGAAGTGGTGGGTGGTGGCGGTGGTGTTATTCAAATTCCTTTCCTTTAATGCCAACCATACGCACACTAAGTTTTCAAATTATTGCATTTTGTGACTAGGATTTAGTCCCAAAATGATAAGTGGACTCTATGTGCCAACCAATCAGATTTTCAGTGGACGCAAGATCCAAAAAATGATATTCCTACCACATATATTTATGGGGTCCGTCAAACACCTCGGGAATATAATAAAAAAAACTGAAACCTTTTCTAAAACTTGATATCGTAAAAAAAAAAATCGGTTGATAACAAAACACTTTATATATAAAAAAATGTATGAAACTCCAAGCAATAGATTTATTTGTGGGTTGAATTCGTAATATCAGGTTGATCATATTTGCATTTATCTTAAAGATATCATAGATATATTCATAAATTATCTCTATTTTTTTAATACATATAAATTTACAAAATACGAGTAAAAATATGCCTACATGTACCTCGTGAGTCGTGAATGTATAGGCAATACCATAAAATTTAACATTTTTATTTAGCATGAATATTACAATAACATAAAATTTAACAATGTTCTATTTATTACATCAAACTATTATTTAAGTAAAAAGATATTTAAATTGATATAACTTAAAAGTAAATATTAATTTAACCATCATGGGTCGTAATTATATTATTTCAAGAGAAGTTTCTGAATGTGTTTTATGTAATTAATTTGAGAGATTTTTTCTCCGGTTCCATAAGATGGCTGTCATTTATTTTTTTAAAAAAAGTTTTATTTATCTATTAATTTTTTAAATAGTTTTTCTAAACGCTCAAAAAACTAATTGATTAATAACCAATTTCAACCAATAATAGAAGAATAAAACAACCATCCGATTTTTTTCTGAATGTTTTATTTAAAATTATATATGGACCATAATAAAAGTATATAAAACCCCACAAATTCTTTAAAAAAAATGAAAAAGAGAAAGTGGTTCATATATGCAAGTTGAAAAGTCTCCAGAACCTTCTTTAAGTTCATGCGGCTGAAACCATGGGCGTATGTATTAATTTACCATTTTAAAAAGGAACTTTCTGAAAGGAGAAAGACCAACACTCATCTGAAGATTTTATTTTCTGTGCAACTGTCTCTCATCAATCTCCTTTCATGTCATCTGCTTCTACCTGAACGATCCTTAAAAACCAAAATCTATAAAAGTTAGATTTTCTCTCTCTTTTTATCATGCAGTTTATGTGTTTGACCTTTTGTCTCAACCAATTTTCTTGATCTATTTCTCTTGTTCTTTGTTAAAAGTATTATCTCGAGTTGTGTTCGTTTTAATTTTCAGGTTTTGGGTTTTAGGGTTACTGCGACATTTGATGATTCCATTTAAGATTTGATTGAAAAGACTCTGACCCATAAAAAAAACGTCGTATAATTTAGTCGATTTCACCATGGAACCTTTCTACCCAGTTGTAAAGGAAGAATACCCTTCTAATAAGCAATCTGTGATTATAAATATGCCGCAACCAATGGAGGGTCTACACGATGCCGGACCTCCACCTTTCTTGACAAAAATATACGACATGGTGGATGATCAAAGTATGGATCACATTGTTTCTTGGAGTAGAGGAGGTCAAAGCTTTGTTGTATGGGATCCACATGCTTTCTCTGTTAATCTCCTTCCAAGATACTTCAAGCACAACAATTTCTCCAGCTTTGTTAGACAGCTCAATACTTATGTAAGTTTCATCTTTCTTTCTTTCTTTATTATACGATAGATATGTATCTTTACTCATGTGTTTGATACATATATATATGTCATATGCTTTATTTTAAGAAAGTTTATGATCCCTAATGTGGTTGAAGCTTGTTAGTTTCGGAAATTTTGGTTTTTTGAATGCAGGGTTTTAGAAAGATAGATCCTGATATATGGGAGTTTGCGAATGAAGGATTTTTAAGGGGGCATAGGGACAATTTGAAGAACATTAAAAGAAGAAAGACGCATTCACAACCAATCTCACAACAAGCTACAAATCAACCTTGTGTGGAAGTTGGAAAATTTGGAATCGATGGTGAAGTCAAACATCTGAGACGTGACAAACAGATTTTAATGATGGAATTAGTGAGGCTGAAACAACAACAGCAAAATACCAGGGCCCACCTTGAAGCGATGGAAATGAGATTACAAGGAACTGAAAAGAAGCAGCAAAAGATGATGAGTTTTTTAGCAAAAGCAATGCAAAATCCCGATTTTGTCCTGAAGTTGGTGCGCCATGGGAAAAGGAAAGATGTTGAAGAATGTAGTATTATGAACAAAAAGAGACGAATGATTGACCATGGTGAAGGGTCAAAGGTAATTAAAGATGAACCAGAAGAGTGGGAAATGTCTGAGTTAGATGCACTTGCTTTAGAAATGCAGGGAATTGGTAGATCCAAAAGTAATCAAGAGGAAGTAGCTAATTATGATCTTGATGATAAAGAACTTGATGAAGAATTCTGGGAAGAATTGTTTACTGAACAATTTGGTATGATCGAAAATGAAGGTTTATAAAGTTGAAGGCCACAAGTAGAGAGCGATTTCTACATTGCTATTGGTTCATAATCCATGAATAATCACCTTCTTGATCTTCCATTGTTCTTAAAAAAACGTTTATTCTTGATCTTTGTAGCTAGGTACAGATGATGATGATGATGATGATGACGATGATGAAGATCTTGGACAAATTTCATGCTGATTACTAGAAGTTGGTTGGTTGACTTCTATCTGATTTTGTATAAAAGAGTGTATCTAATAGACTGTTTTATATATCATGTTAATTCAAGTTTTCTTTCCCTTTACAGGATACAGAATATGAAAAGCACTACCCCTTCACCAAAATTTTAACTTTCTCATCTCCTAAATTCATATTTTTTTGGGTTAATCTCAGTTTTTTTAGATCTGATCCTCTCATGTGAATCTTATCTTAATTATCAGACTGGAAGCATTTTCTTGGCCAGATTCAAGTGCTTGTTCAAGGTTATCATTTGGTCTTTCTTGAACTCCCAATATTAATTACTAGAAATGAGATTTAATTGATTTAATATCTGGAAATTATATATATGATGCCCTTAATGAAATTCGTTCTTTGGTAGATTGCCATGAAGATACCACATATCAGAAGATTCTTTGGCTGCTATTTGGATGTCGGCTAAAATATACTAGTTAATGGTACACCTGGTATTAATTATTATTTGGTATTTTTAAATAAAAATGATAATGATTGTGGGACCCATATGCGTATTCATTATTGTGCAAGATATTTTCAATTTTAAACAGGAATTAGGTAAAATAATTGACAAAAGAAAGAATCAAAGAGCCATACACTCTTTAATATGAGCCTATGAGGTATAAGTTGTTGTACAATATTGTTTCGTATTTGAGAAATGTTGCTCCATAAAGATGCATGTTAGTGTGATCATATTGTTACAATCAACTATTTAATCTGGTTTTTTAATTGTAAACTATTATAGAAATGTGAAAAAAAGAAAATAAACAGATTGTTGGGATATGATTGGATGTATGGATAGGAAGCAAGTTGGTTCTTTTAATGAGTCACTTTCATTAGGTGATGCTTGTGAATATGTCAAGTTGATGTAGTTAAATGCCTTGGAAAGTTGACTTTTATGCAATTAATGTAAGGGTCCTTTACACATGTGAAAGTTGCACTTTAATAAGTCTCATGGTGTGACTTTGTGATTTGACTACAACTCTTTGTACTTGAAAATATTAGGAAGTATACTATAATAGATAAATTGCTTGAGTTTTATAGGTTCTTTTGGTAATTATGAGATCAAAGTCATGTACATACAGATTTAAACAAGATTTAACCTAATAAGTAAGAACAAATTGAGTCACATAGCAACCAATTTGTCATTTTTACGAAATAGGAGACATACTTTACTTCTTATCTACAACTAGCAATCAACTTGCATTTTTCTTTCCGATTTAGGCAATATAAAAACTAGAAACACAATAATGCTGATTTTCAAATGTGTCAGATCATGTCGCCATGTGAGCTTCCACAGTTCCACATCATCTGTCATGTATACATTTATGTTGAAGTGGAATTTTCTATAACTTCAGTAACTTAAAAAAATTATTTTGTGTGAACCTTTTTAGTTTTAATTTATTTTCATTTGTTTTAACTGTTTCAACTCAACTCAAAAGGAATGACACATAACCCCTTCTAGTTTATATCCACTAAATTACATTAAAAGTCATCCAACCCACACAAAAAAGCAAGGGTACATCGGGTCAATGGTCGTACATCATGGATAAAACATAAACTAAAACTCAAAGTATTTTGAATTTATTGAAAGAACAATTTCAATTTCAATTTCAGTTTATTAACACACTCTCTCCACAATACGAAAGCTAATTAAACACATCCCTCACATAATTACTACGCACACATAAGTTTTTTTTTTTTTTGAACAGCTAAATGTCCATATATTCAAACTAGCAATAAGCTAAAAAAACAATTACACAACATTAATTGGTTTTTTTTTTTAAACCAATCCACCCAACTAGTCGAAGTTTTTCAGTTTCTACTTTTAAAACATTTAAAAAAAAAAAAAGCAAATCTTTAATAGTGTCTATTATGATATCATTTCTTTGTTCCCTCTCACCAAACACTTTTCGAAACCACCAAATAACCCACCCCATAGTAAACACAATCAATTCAATCACCTATTTTATTTTTAAGAAGTAGAGTTGGACGTCTTTTCCAAAGGCCTCTCCACCGATGTTTTAAAAACCGGTTTTTTAGTTGAACCGGTATGTTGACCGTTTCACGGTTCAACCGGTTTAACTAGGGATGAGCAAAAGGACCGAACCGGCCGGAACCGGCCCGAACCGGACCTGACCCGGGAACCGGCTTCGGCCAAAATCAAGAACCGAACCGGCCCGGCGGTTCTACCGGTTCCCGGTTCCTACCGGTTCTTGTCGTGTCTTCAAATGTTGGAACCGGTCATCGAAAAATAGCATCATACGGTTCCGGTTTTTGCCGGTTCTACCGGTTCCCGGTTCCAAAAATCCACAAAAATAACGTCCCGGTCCTGGCCCGACCGGTTCCATCGGGTTCCGGTTCCGGTACCGGTTCCGGCCGGTTCCCCGGTCCATATGCTCATCCCTACATATACATACATATATAAAGTATGAATTTGATATTTATCAGTTCAAACATTAAAAATACACATAAAAATACGTTGTAGATGAATCCAAATACATTAAATTAACACATAACCATAAGTTTTAGTGTTTTACATCAATCCATATACGTCAAAAATAAAATAAAGTATAATACCGAAACGAAATATCGTTTTAGATGAATACAAACACATCAAAAAACTTTATAACATTTACCATATGTTTTTATTTAGAGAAAACTAAATAGATTTGAAAAAAAATCACCAAAGTTTATTATGTAAATGATTCTTTTTCATGTGTTTTTATTCGGTTTAACCGGTTCAACCGGTTTATTTTGACCGGTTCAACCGGGTTTATTTAAAAACTGGTCGGTTCAATCCGGTTCAGAAATCAATGTAAAACCGGTGATGGTTGAACCGCTCCTTCTCCCGGTTCCCGGTCCAACCGGTTCGACCGGCCGGTTCAAACCGGTTTTTAAAACATTGCTCTCCACACACACACAAAAAATAATAATAAAAATAAAAAAATCTTATGAACCTATCGGTTCCATATTGTAACATCATCGTATACTTTTTAGAAGCGTAAAACGATAAAAGTAATTAGGAATTAATAATAACTAGAACAAAATAAGAATAATAAGAATAATAATATAATTAATGTTAATTAAAAAAATATATAAGTAGATAAAAGTAATTAATAAAATATTGTTCAGGGGACTAAAATGGTTGATTAGATACTTATTTTCTAGAGGTTCTTGTCTGTAGGGACCATTTTTTCCAAATCTGAAAGTTAGGGGTCAAAACTGTTAATTTTTTGAACAAGGGCTTTTGTCCCATAGGCCTTAATAGGTAAACCATTTTATCAATTGAGCCAAACCCTAGCCCATGGGGTGCACCCCCACCGGTTTATAAAGGTGAGAGAAGGGTAACGGTTTTTGGACCTCATCTCAAGACACCATCAGTTCTCTTTGCCATCATCAGAATTCACCGTCGGCCGTCGGTTTTCCATACTAGAAGTAGAAGGAAAAGAGGTGAAGAGGGCGAAGTTGTAGTTTCTTATTACTAGGGAACCTTGGGGGTACAATCCTTATTTTTTTTCTTCTTTTTCTCTCAAAAAGATCACACACCACCACTAATTGCCACCGTCACGCGGCGGTGGTGAATTTTTCCAGGGAACATCCCACCACCACCATAATGTCATTTAGGTGGTAGTGAGGTCCTTTGAGTACAACTAATTGGCTATATTGTTCATATGTTGCAATTTTTTCATTCAAATCTCTAGTTGTATTTGGGAATATGTTTGTGCATCTAATGACCACCATAAGACCACCTTATCACCATCCATCCTTGGGGGCTGATGTGAATTATTATTTCTAGCAAATTTCTTGAGTCATTATGTGCTTGATAGGGTTTGGTTGAAGAACAAACCCTTAAAACTCTTCTTATGAGCTTAATATGAAGAAAAGTGATATTTATGAGTTGAATTGATCAAGTTCTTAATAACTTGAGTCATTTGTTATTTGGTAATGAAAATACTTGGTTTCATGCAATTCCTGAAGATCCCTAGCCTATCACTAGCATGTTGTTCTAACATATCACAAGATCAAATAACAGTGTGGTAATTTAGGGTCTACTTACTGGCTCCGGATGATCATACACATCGCATCCTCAATTATTTTGAAAACAATTTGAAAATCATTTTCTAAAATCTTTTTCCTTAATTTGAGATTGGATTCACACGAGTGTTCCTCCAATTTACTCAAACCAAGGCTCTGATACCAAATTGTAACACCCATAAAAATCACAAGAAATTTAAACTTTTTAAAACCAACCCAAATTCACAAATTGTTTACAAACATAGTTTTCTAAACATTTTCAACATCAGAGTCTCCCAGAATTATAAGTGAAAACATGAGGATGTGTACGGTCATGCCTTCGCCTTCCCGCGGTCATCTGAAGTACATAAAACATAACCCAAAATTGTAAGCCAACGCTAAGTGAGATCCCCCAAAGTACCAACACATAAACAGATAACAAATACCATAACAACATGTCGGGTCCAATCAACCATCGGGTTGGAATACCCCAGGCCCATCAACCATCGAGTTGGAATGCCAATACACTATGGGTCCAGTCAACCATCGGGTTGGAATACCCCAGACCCATCAACCATCGGGTTAGAATGCCAATACACAACGGGTCCTGTCATCCTCGGGATGGAATACCCTCAGGTTCATTCAACCATCAGGTTGGTATGCCCCCGACCTGTTGGCTTACGCACAAAGTAGTAAAGCCTCATCCACCGACCAAATATGTGCACACATAACAGATAATCATATAACAGTCTACAGACAGTTAAACAGATCTTCTGATCACTAAGCATAGTACCATCCTATATACCAGGATATTGATCTAACAAATCACTACAGTACAATCGCATACATAATAGGATATTGAATCCAAAGGGTCGGCCTTGGTGCCTTCGACCCGCAAGTACAGTGAGGAAAACTCACCTCACAAACTAAACAGTAGCTAATGAGGTCCCGACTCCGAATCTCAGCTCAAACTGTCACCTATCCAACCAAATGACCAATTATAGTCAAAATCCCAAAATACCCTTAAGTCAAACTTGGTCAAAGTCAAAGTCAAATTGGTTAAACCTACTGAGTCAGTTGAGTCAACCCAGCCGAGTCACCTCCGAAGGTACGTTGGGCGTACTCGCCTTCTCGCATGTTGACCACCATCGGGGTGGTTGACCTCGTACGCAGGGCGTACTCCGAGTACGCTAGGCATACCCCCAGAAACTTCAATACTCATTAAGTGATTAATGACTTAAGCACTTGCGTCCATATTTCAGATCCAAGGCTAGAATACACTCTAGAGTCATAAAGTTTCCAACTTTATGATTTTGCATGCCCATAAAGTGCTTATTTCAACTTCTGAATCCATTAAGACATTCTACAAGATGCATGAAGCAAAACCAACCATTTGAAACCCATTTTTATGACTTAAGACCCTTCCAAGGGTCTGAAAGGACAGCTTAATGAGTCAAGAACATGCTTTTTTCATGAAACACCATATTTGGGACAAAAGTACCTAAAACTAAACCTAAAACAAGATCTACAAGAAACTACACCATGTTCAGAACTTGATACCTCAAAATGGTGCCAAAAGGTGGTGTGATCCTGGATCTAGAGAGCTTCACTCCTTCAAGGTGGTCTCCTCTTCTTTCCTTCTTCTTCAAGAGCACAAAACACCCACACACAAGCTTATAAATGCTTCACAAGTGGGATTATGTTT